AGTATGACTTCAGCAGGAGTCAAGATATAGCTGTGCGCTCGATGCGATTGGGTTTACGGGACTTTGCGCGGGAACTGGTAGGTGCCGTTGGAGTCGAGGTGGGACATCGCCTTGATAAGACTGAACGATTCTGCGCTGGCGCCATTGAGGGCGTCAAAGCGACAGCTCCTAGGGAAGAGGAGCCGCGCCCACCACGTAGAGAACCAATCAAAGTTAAGTTCCCGGATTCCTATGCTGGGAAGAGGGAAGAGAACTTTGATAACTGGGAAGCCAACGTGAAGACCTACGTGCATTTGCAACAGGTCTCCTCGGATCAGCAAGTCTTGATTGCGATCCACGCGCTTAAAGATGAGGCCGCCACTTTTGCAAGGTCCTTGGTTCGTGCCGCTAACTGTAGCGACGATCCCATTGCCTACTCCTCGTTTACCTCCCTCACCGAATTTCTAAGATTACTGCGCGAGCGATTTGCTGACGTCGCTCGCAGTTTAAAAGCTTCAGATAAACTGCAAACCATCCATACTCGCAAATGGAAAAGCGTCAGGGCGCTCAAGGGTACAATGGACGAGTTAGTGGCCGTCCCTGATCACAAAGTCACAGAGACTCAATTAGTTAACCTCTTTTATCGAGCTATGCCCGAAGCTTTGCGAGGGCACTTCTTCGCGAAGAGCGAAGACCCTACCACGACATATGATTCTCTGAGTCGTGAAGTAGTGGCTYTTGAAGCCAAGTCTGCGTCTGTGTCTACCTTCTGGCACAGAGATCTGGATAGAGGGAAGCCATGGAAGGGCCGCACTATCTCGGGGCAAGTAAAGACTAAGGATAGCCTCGTCCTAACTTTAGACGAAGGTAGTGTGGACGAAATCCCCTACGACCAGATTGAGTGGGGGTTAGAGGAGGACAACGGTATGGGCCAGGGGAGATCTTATGCTGCTGTCGCGGTTGGAGGGAGGCCGCAAGGAAGAGGCCAGGGCCAAGGGGGCCGGGCCTCAGGGAGCCGGTTCCAGGGCGATCAGGGGGTTGGCGGCAGAGGRGGAAACCGYCAAGTGGGAGGCAGGGGTCAAGGTCCCCCGCAAAACCGCCCTAGGAACAGGTCTCCCTATAGAATAGGAGGATGGCATCCAGGGCTACCGCAAGGTAGGCCTTGGGAATCGTTGGGTCTGGACCAAGCTTTATGGCAACAACGATTGGACAGGGGCCAGTGCATTTTCTGCGGTGACCAGGGCCATATCATCAAATATTGTCCCAAGTATAGAGAGACCCGAACGGCTGCCCCAGGGCCAAAAGGCAGCCGCCGGTAGGGGTAGCAACTGCCCCTACCATTAGGCCATGTGGGGAACATAGCGCTAGACGGCAGGAGACTCCCACACCACATGTGCCTATGGCAGAGGTTGCAGGCCGGTATCTAGACAGCTGTCCCGAAACTGCTTGTGTTAGAGTTTCGCTAGACACCTCCC